TCACGCCACTTACCCCACTGAACAATGTATATAACTAGCTGCATGCAATATCCCTCAATTAACTTACCCTCCTGAACACCTAGACCTACCTTCAATATCACCCAATTTAAGGTATTGAGCTTTTGGGTCTACTTTGCATCTATATCTACCTGTTGCCGAAATTCGCACGTAATTTGCCGCCCCTACCTACCCACTGTCAATACCCGAAAAGGGAATGGCATAATACAATACTTATGATTTCCCTTCATTTTTATGCCCAATTTATCTCTAGCAACGCGAATACAAAAGCTCGTAAATCATACAGTTCTGGTACAAAAACGTTCAGAAACCTCGTATGTCGTAAGAAAAAAACAGATTTGGGGGTGAAAACCTCGTAAGTCCGAAATCTTAAAAATGAAAAAACGTCAGCTTATATTTGACAGAACATCTAATAGGGCTTATTTTCAAAGGTACAAAAAGAAAATGTTAAGCCAATCCACCAAGTATCTGATAAGTTATGAAGTTATTTGTTCCTACTGTAAAATTTTGTTGATCTGACTTACGAGGTTTTAGAATGACACCGACGATATACATTATTTACATAAATCATTCGGTTGCCAATGGGTAACGTGAAGTTGGCACGTTATTCTTGATTCGGGATTCGCGAATACCGTGCTAGCTCGTTATTCGGGATTCGCCAATAACGAATAACGCGCCAGCACGTTATTCGGGATTCGCCACTAAAACAGAACTATCTATCTTGCATCCGACCTATTCGCTTGAGAAACGGTTACCTCCGTGTTATTTGGTCACACAACGGGGAAATGGTCGGATGCAAGGTAGATCGTTTTATTTTAGTGGCGAATCCAAAATCCGAATAAAGTTCTGGCTCGTTATTCGTTTTTGGCGAATCCCGAATAATGACCCAGTACATTATTCGGGATTCGGCAATAAAACAGGTGATTGTTGTGATGACTGCACCGTGCACTCTAACAAACCAGTCAGCACCCTAGTCGCCTGAGAAACGGTCGTCCCCTTGCTAATCGGTTACCCAAGGAGGAAATGGTCGGATGCAAGATAGATCGTTCTGTTTTATTGGCGACTCCTGAATCCCGAATTCCGAATAACGTGCTGGCTCCTTATTCGTAAAACAGGTGATTGCTGGAGATGACTGCCCCGTGCACTCTAACAAACCAGTTAGCACCCTATTCGATCGACAAACGGTCGTGTCCTTGTTAGTCGGTCACCCAACGTACACCTGCCCCTACGGTCAGGGGTAGCGAGGAAATGGTCGGATGCAACGTAGGTCGGTCTGTTTTAGTGGCGAATTCCGAATCCCGAAAAACTAGTACGTTATTCGGGATTCGGCAATAAAACAGGTGATTGCTGGAGATGACTGCCCCGTGCACTTTAACAAACTAGTTAACACCCTAAAAACGGTTGTCTCCTTGCTAGTCGGTCATCCAACGTACACTTACTCCTACGGTCAGAGGTAGCGAGGAAATGGTCGGGTGCAACGTACTTCGGTCTGTTTTAGTGGCGAATCCTGAATAACGTGCTGGTCGGATGCAAGATAGATAGTTTTGTTTTAGTAGAGCAGTAGCGTCCAATCAGGTTGTGACATCGCTACCTCCACGGAAACCTTGACATTGAATGAACCTTGAACTTTGCTACTCGATTATTACAGGTAGACATTTTAGCTTGAAGCGCAAGACTTGGTATTCGGTACGATCGCGGAATCTGATAGGCTCACAAGTTGGGCTTGTACCCAATCGAAATTAGTGCCGAAATATACAGGGTATTAGGTGAAGGCCTTGATAAGATGGGAGACTATATACTTTGGGCCTAATCTAAGGGCTATTCAAATACAGATTCTAACCGCGGATTAACTAGGGTTAGGTTTAAGAATTTGGGGGAGAGGTCAAGTCTCCACATAAGCACTGACCTAGGATGATGTAAATTTGCTTCGTGATATTTCCTAGTTTTATTTAAAATACATGCAATACATTAGATTGATATACAAAGTTTGTTTCGCTGTTTTTTGGTGTTGGTGGCGCTGATGGTCTTCCTTCGGTGCCGCTTGTGGTATTCTGCTATTTTGATTTCTGAAGAAAAAAGAAATAAATTTGAGGCTCTCACATTATTGTGTTTCCTACTAAGGATTGGATTTTCTAAAAATGAGGTTTTTTTCACTATCCCGGGGTTAGGGCTAGTGATTCTTATAATTAGTTAATTTTATTTACTAAGGGTTAGGGCTAGGGTTTGATAAATTCTTTGTTTAGGGTTAGGGCTAGGGTTAACAATATATTATGCTAAGCTAACACTTATAGTGGGTAGGGATGGCCTAGCGTGGAGGATATCAAGCTTAGAGCTCTAACTGACTGGTACAGATGGTTTGGAGCTATAACTGACTGGTACAGATGGTTTGAGCTCTGACTGGTACAGATGATTTGAGCTCTAACTGACTGGTACAGATGGTTTGTAGCTCTGGTGAGGGCGTATGTGATTTGTAGGTCGTGGGTTGACTCCCACATGAAAGACCCATGCGCATGCGCCAAATTAACTAAACTGCAGATGTGTCTGTGATATCACTATCACTGGAAGCGAACGTTAAAGTTGCTTTCCCACAGAGGTATTTATCGGATGGTTATCCAATAAAAGTATAGCGGAAATGAAATGAAATGGGGTTTAACGTCCTACTGTTCTGCTCCTAACCTGGGCTAATGAAGACGGGCATACGCCATACATTGTGCTATGAGGGAAATTTTGCCCGGACAGCGGCACTACGGCCTACTCTTATATCGAATTCCAACTGCCCAAGGATCTTTTACGTGCACGCCAATGTGTACACGGGACCCTGGTTTTTCGTCCCATCCGAGCTTTCCCACAGAGGTATTTATCGGACGGTTATCGAATAAAAGTATAGCAATGTTGGAATGTATGGAAAGTAGAGACACTCGATCTTATTGGAGAAATACTGGATTCCTTGAAAAATACAAAAATGAGAGGGTGTCACTAATCGACAGCCTGGGTGACGTCAGTGACGTCAAAGGTTGCATGCATAGATTGTCTGACCTCTTGGCGTTCGGTAGTACTTGATGTACATGTTGATATACTTGATGCTAAGAATTGACAAGTGAATATTGTTTTTATTTTGACTGTAGGTGTCAAGCAAGGATGTGGCGGTATCTTGAATGATACCCAGGGTGTCATATCATCTGTTGATGGCGATGGTGACGGTAACTATGAGAATGCTTTAGATTGTAAATGGACGATTATTGCTGCTGATAACAAGGTCGCCATGTTTAATATTACAGGCCTGGATCTAGAGAATAGTATAACTTGTAGAAATGATTATATTAAGGTTCGTATTAAGGTTCGTGGGGTTTTTCCGGGTCCCCTGGTTTCCTCCCAGTGCTGGCCGAATGGCTAGCACGTGCGCGCTGTATCATGAGGCCTATCATTGAGTTAACTGGCGTAGTTTCGATTCCCCGGTTGTACGTGACAAGGAGTAGGGTTGCCTGTCCAACCTCGTAGATATTCCCTGGGTCCTCCTGTTTCCTCCCACTACTAAAGACCCCTACGCGCAAGCGAATTATTGAAATAAAATTAAATCATATTTTAGCCCCGAAATGGCCTAGTTTGTACCGAGTGCACGTTAAACCCAATGTTCGATCCCGGTGTTGCCCGAGACAGTTCATCTGCCAGGGGGCTGGCAAGGGACAACGTATAGCCATTTGGATGGTACACATTGGCGTGCACGTAAAAGAACGCTAGGCAGTTGCAATTTGATATAAGATAGGCCATAGTGCCGCTATCTGGGCAAAATTTCCCTCATAGCACAATGTATGGCATATGGCCGTCTTCGTTAGCCCAGGTTAGGAGCAGAACAGTAGGACGTTAAACCCCATTTCATTTCATTTCCGCTATACTTTTATTGGATAACCATCCGATAAATACCTCTGTGGGAAAGCAACTTTAACGTTCGCTTCCAGTGATAGTGATGGCATGAGTGATGATGATCCGTTAATTGGTATATATTGTGGTAATACACTACCACCATCTATAGTTGCTACATCCAACTTCCTGTACGTTATATTCCATACAGACGGTAGTGTCACAGCAAGAGGATTTAACGCAACTTATGGACAGAGAAACGGTAATACTATTTATATCATACAGTCTTCCAATTGACGCTTCCGGCTGATCCTCATACCCATTTACTTGATTTGATATTTGCAATGTCCACAGGTTTATCTTGTCCGCAGGTTTGTTTTGTTGGTTTTGTTTTGCATGTAGCCCAGTTTCTCGCATATTCCTGAAGCAATGGCCCGAGAAATCCCTCTTTGGCCATTGCTGGATTGGCTTCTGATACTTGAGCTTTTGAGGGAGTGTGTCTATTTTCCCGTTCAATCAAATCTATCCCAAGCACAGCAACATGACAGCCCTTCGTTTAATCTGGGGTCTTCCCTAAAACTTTGGACAGTGATTTAAGGTATTAAAAATGATGAAAATGTTGTTCGTCTATAAACAGTATTGTTGTTAGCCTCGTTTGTCACACAATTAGTTTTTCTGCAATATTCTGCTATGCACTGGTTAATTGGGCATAATAAAATCGTAAGTCATGTAAACGTTATGTAAACATATTTTGTCCAATTTGGAGCTTTGTTTCAAGCGTAATCATATTGTTAAGCAGTTAGCTTTTGGTTGTTAATCGGACTATTGACCAGTCATAATTTGGAACAGAAATTTGCTTCCATTAAAGAAGTGTTTAGTGGAATTAGCTCTAATCAAACGAAACACTGCAAGGAATATGAGTTTCTCCACTACGTACTACTTTTTCATCTTTTAAAAATACCCATTTTAATTTGAATAATTTCACCATTTAGATATTTTGTTACCATTTAAATGTATGTTAAACACATGTAATATTATATTACAGCTCTATGTGGCGGCACTTTGTTTGCATCCAATGTTTCACAGATAATCAGCTCTCTGAACTACCCTAGTCCAGTAGGACAGATGGCACGATGTCGCTGGGTCATTGATTCAGGTGACAACAATAAAAAAATTCGTTTGAAGTTTACAAACATTCGTCTAGCCACTGATCCAAACTGCCTTCAAGAATATGTACAGTTCCGAGATTCACCTTTGGTAAGTTGTAACAGGTACTCAGTGGAACTACTTTATTAACAGGTACCCTGTGGCACTACTTCATTAACAGGGGCACTGTGGAACTACTTTATAAACAGGTGCACTATGGAACTACTTTATTAACAGGTACCCTGTGGCACTACTTCATTAACATGTGCACTGTGGAACTACTTTATTAACAGGTGCACTGTGGAACTACTTTATTAACAGGTGCACTATGGAACTACTTTATTAACAGGTACCCTGTGGCACTACTTCATTAACATGTGCACTGTGGAACTACTTTATTAACAGGTGCACAGTAGAACTACTTTATTATTAGTTACCCTGTGGAACTACTTCAATAACAGGTACCCTGGGGAACTACTTCATTAACAGGTACCCTGTGGAACTATTTTATTAACAGGTACCCCGTGGAACTATTTCATTAACAGGTAGGCCTACTCTGTGGTGCTACTTTATTAACAGTTACCCTGTGGAACTAATTTATTAACAGGTACCCAACCTGTGGAACTACGTAATTAAGAGTTTGAATACTATATTAACGATATTCGTTAAAATCACAAGCCAGAAATTTCATCTATATTTCAAAAAGTTAAACATGCATTATGCAAGAGCAAAATCTGCTTATTACAAGTCTTTCTTTAGGCCTGAAATGTTATCGAAATTATCAATTAGACATTAATTAACTTATCCAGACCATAATAAACTCTCGATGTCAAGGCTAGCCTTCGATGTAGGCTGGATTTGATTCCTATATGCCGCTAACGGCCAAAGATAATTAAATCAGAAAAAGTGGATAATCGAGACTATGCTGTTTATATTAATGATTTTAGTAATGATAACCGAGACTTTCACCGGCTTCTTTCTCGGCTCATAGCGGATCAATTTGACTGAAATTTTAAGCAAATTACCTTTACACTATCTAGTTTTTAACTATTATAGCCAGAAATGCCATCTCTTTATCTTATCTCCCATAATGTATCTTTAAAAATATTTATTATTTAAACATAAAGCCAAAATAAGATATATCTGTATTTAGACTTACCCGACAGAGTCTTTTTTAGCGAAATTCTCAGACTCGAGGCCCTGTAACTCGGTTTGGGTGGGATTTTCTCTAGACAAAATCCAACACTGAAATTTTAGTTTTATTTTCAAGAACTTTACTCGGTAATTAAGTTTGAAATGCTAGGAAATAGATCATACTAACACCTACGACAAATAAAATGTTACTAAAAAACAAAGATTTTACGATCGACAGACCCAATTTCGTGGCACCAAGTAATGGTAAACACATCTATATTTTATTTTATTGGCCTTATTGTGTTATTATTGTAAAATGTCCCTTATTAGGGCATGTCAGGCCAAACTCTATATTATTGTAAAATGTTTGTTTTTAGGCCATGTGAGGTCAAACACTATATTGTAAAATGTTTGTAAAATGTGTGTTTTTAAGGCGTGTTTAATGTAGAATGTTTGTTTTTAGGGCGTGTCAGGTCAGACACTACATTATTGTGGAAGAACAATACACACTGGATATGATTCGGTTGGTCGAGTTATCATGGTGGATTACAATGTTCCAGCAGGGTCAAGGTCACCAGGATTCCAACTCTCATATATGGTAGCAGGTAATAAGTTATTTTGTCTTATTAGATTTGGGGATTGGGTGCTTAAAGACCCCCTAGTTTGTGTTGAATGGACATTAAACCCCATGTCTCTCTGATTAGATTTGTGTTTGTTCTACCCTCTATGGTAAACCCATCATAGTCCTGATGGCTGAGCATTGAGAGGGAGAGAAATGATGATCTATGGTAAACCCAGGAGGTCCCGGTGGCTGAGTAATGAGAGAGAGAGAGAGAGAGAGGTGATGATGATAAACCAACAGGAGGTCCTGGTGGCTGAGTAGTGAGGGGAGAGAGGGAGAGAGAGAGAGGGGTGATGATAAACCAACAGGAGGTCCCGGTGGCTGAGTAATGAGAGGGGAGAGGGAGAGAGAGAGAGGTGATGATAAACCAACAGGAGGTCCTGGTGGCTGAGTAGTGAGGAGAGAGGGAGAGAGAGAGAGAGGTGATGATAAACCAACAGGAGGTCCCGGTGGCTGAGTAATGAGAGGGAGTGTGAGAGAGAGAGAGAGAGAAAGAGAGAGAGAGAGGTGATGATGATAAACCAACAGGAGGTCCTGGTGGCTGAGCAGTGAGGGGAGAGAGAGAGAGAGAGAGAGAGAGAGAGAGAGGAAGGTGATGATGATAAACCAACAGGAGGTCCTGGTGGCTGAGTAGTGAGAGAGAGAAATGATAATAAACCACAGGAGTCCTGGTGGCTGAGCAGTGTGTGACAGTATTGGTTCTTTAATAAGGTTCGGATGACAAGACTAGTTTAACATCTTAAAATACTTTTATTCTCTGCTTCTTCTAACATATATACAACACTTAAAGATTCCATAACTAGCTTGTGTTGAGAGAGCCATTTCCTAGCTCGGCTAGGCACGAATGTGCCAACTCCCAACTCTTACATTACATGGCCTTAACTCCAAACCTGCGTGGCCTGGAGTTAACTACCAGACGTCGCCTAGCCTCCGACTGCTCTCAAGTCCTGCCTAGACCTCTCTCCTCTATTTGTTTCTTAATCTGGATTTATAAACCCTTTCAAACAAAGGATCTTATTAGGCATCTGGCTAATGTATCATATCAAGTTTACATTCGATACATGCTAATCAGACAAAGAAAGTTTAAATAAAACATGGCAGCAAGTTAACGTTTACATAATCATTACATAATCACATAGACCAAGAACTTCAAGCATGTCGATAACGATCAGGTGTCAAGTTGGCAGGAAGCGTCTTTAACATCAGATAATCTGATTATGTAACAAGTGAGAGAGAAAAATGGGGTTAACATTCACAAACTAGCTCATTTTCGGACTAACATATAGGGGTCTTTAGTATTGGTAGGAAACCAGAGGAAACATAATTCAGTCAATATGCATATCTATAACATATATTTCTTGTTTATTATTTTTACAATACTCTGCTCGCTTTTCAGAGTAGGTTTTAAGGGGGTGGAACCTGAGGTATAGGTCGGGAGGAGGGTAGAGTCTGTGAAGGTTGTTTCTCCCCATTGAAAGAAAATTGTTGAATTCCAGCATACCTGAGAGATGTTTGGAATACATTCCATCTGTCAAACAGTGGTTATTTTTACTGGACATCATCAGTATTACAATATAAAGCGCGCAGGGAGGGGGCGGGTGTAGGAAATTGACCCACATGACTTTGTGACCATTTTGACAGAGGAATTCTTTTGTTAATGATTTGTACTCACTCTAGTTGCCATCGTTAAAACCTCTTTGTGTCTATTTATAGATTGTAATCGTAATATAACAGCTGATAACGGTCAACTTGTTAGTCCGGGTTATCCAGGAAACTATCCTGTTAATCTGGACTGTGATATTAGAATCAGTGCACCAGCAGGAAGAACGTTAGCCTTGTATTTTAACAGGTTCTCTATCGAATCACATTCCAGCTGTAACTACGATTATCTAGAGGTTGGTATCTCCTTTCATGGTTATTAATCGGCTAGCTGACAGGTCATGTGATCTTGTGTTACTAGGACATTTCCCAGTTTGTAGGGGATCTTAATGAGTCATGAGTGTAACCAATGCAATACTGAGTATGTGGTCATGTGACGACCTAGGGAATACAATAAACAGCTCTAGAGTATCACATAGCTACTTGTTGTTGTCCTGTATGGTTTCATGAATTGTTGTTATAGTTTTCTGTATAATATGTTGATCTCATAATTCTTGCATTACTGCATTAGCTTGATAACGTTGAGAGAATACTCTTCGAAACGTCGCCCAAATAAATAAGTAGCTGTTTTTCCATAAGTATGTGTTTTTGTGTATTGCTCTACCCAGTTACTAAATGCCTCTTAAAGATTATTAATAGCTACTGATAGTTGCTAGGGGCTAGTATAAACAGTTCTAGTGTATCACATAGCTACAGATAGTTGCTAGGGACTAGTATAAACCGTTCTAGTGTATTACATAGCTACAGATAGTTGCTAGGGACTAGTATAAACAGTTCTGATGTATCAAATAGCTACAGATAGTTGCTTGGGACTAGTATAAACAGTTCTAGGGTGTCACATAGCTACAGATAGTTGCTAGGGACTAGTATAAACAGTTTTAGTAGCTCTCCACACACAATGGTATTTATATAGAATTTTTTGATTAACACCATGTAGCCAGGTTGTAACTGACGTGAAATAAAACTCCATTTCATTTGTTCATTCCTATAAGAAGTGTTTATTTTAATCACTAAAAGATATGTCCCCCTATAAGATACGTTTTATCGTGCACCTTATATACATTATTTTAAGGTCCATGATTATATTTACTATAAGATATGTGTGTTTATTATTTAAGATACATAATGGGTCGAGTCCTAGTGACGGGGTTATAGCTAAATTATGTGGCAGAACGTTACCTGATACTGTCTTTATTCCAACCAATCAAATTTATCTAAATTTCAAAACAGATTTATCTGTACGAAGACTGGGATATGATATAACATTCACTTCAACATCCGCTGGTAAGTGGGATATGATTTAACATTCACTTCAACATCCGCTGGTAAGTGGGATATGATTTAACATTCACTGCAACATCCGCTGATAAGAGACATACACTTGTTTATAAAGACCAATATATTTACTAGTACCGGTACTAGTTTCAGGTGGTCCTATTAGTATATGACACTGGCTCCGGGGTTTGTTCACGGTGTACATTCAGATTGTCCAGTCGGGGTTTTCCTGTATATTATACAGGGTATGGTAGCTCTTTCAAAAGACCTTGTTGTCCATTAATTGTCCTTCAGCATTTTTACACAAACTCTATTTTATCTCAAGCTGGAGATGGTTGTATGAACTCTGTTTCATACGATCGAGCTAGCGATAGTTGTATGAAGTCTGTTTTATACGATCGAGCTAGAGATGGTTGTATGAACTCTGTTTTATACGATCGAGCTGGAGATGGTCGTATGAACTCTGTTTTATACGATCTAGCTAGAGATGGTTGTATTAACTCTGTTTGTTGATATTTCAGGTTTGGGATGTGGAGGTAGTCTGACGGGAATCAACGGAAGTCTGACCAATCCAAATTTTCCAGGAAATTTCTCGGATGTGCAGACGTGTCAATGGTCGATAACTGTACCAGCACGAAGAACGATAACATTAACATTTACAACGCTAAGTGTAATAGGCGTGGCTGATTGTTCCAACAATTACGTGTCCGTCTACAATGGTAACAATGCGTTATCATCAACACCAACATTCGGCAGATACTGTGGTGATGTAAGTATTTCATAGTCTGTATATAATAGGGGGGGGGGGCTATTAAGAATACAGAAAAATGTTGCTAAGTAACCAACCTATATTTTTTATTATGTTTTCAGACTGATGTTGCCAGCATGACGACGACATCGAATACAGCTTATGTTAAATATGTTTCAACTGGTTCCAGTAACGCACCCGTGTTCAGGCTAACTTATACCAGTTAGTACGAACAAGTGTCAATTTATTAAAAAAAAACATTTATTTTTTATTTTAAACTGTTATATAAAATCCCAATTAAATTTAAGATATCCATCATCAAATTAAATTATGATATTCACTATCAAACTGATTTACACCACCAAGCTGAATTACAATATTCGCCACGAGTTCAATTACAATATTCACCACCAAGCTGAATTACAATATTCAACACCAAGCTGGATTACAATATTCACTATCAGATTGAATTACAATATTCACCATTGAGTTGGATTACAATATTCACCATTAAAGAACAACTGTAAAAAATTGTTTACATTGTATTCCAATTGCAGTTCTCATTCCTGATTTTCTGAACTGGGAGTCGGATGGCCGAATGGTTAGCGCGTACCCATTGTAGCATAAGGTATGTCATTAAGTCAACTGGCGTGGTTTCGATTCCCCGGTTGTACGTGATAAGGAGTAGGGTCGCCTGTCCAACCTCGTAGGTTTTCTCCGGGTCCTCTGGTTTCCTGCCACTGCTAAAGACCCCTACGCGGAAGCGAATTATTGAAATAAAATTGTACCATGTGCTAGTCCCGAAATGACCTAGTTTGTGTCGAGTGGACGTTAAACCCCATTTGTCACTCACTTGCTAAATTCACCTTTGGTCCTGGTACCCCGGAGGTCAAAAGATCAAATTTTTGTTTTTGCATTGGGAAGATTTTACGCGTAAAATATAAAAAACGTAAAATATAAAACCTGTTGTAATTAATAATAGGAGAAACCTGTTGTAATTAATAATAGAGAAACCTGTTGTAAAACCTGTTGTAATTAATAATAGGAATATTTAAAATCTTTCTTTAGACGGTCTTAGCGTCGAAATACTTTGAGATGCGTTTTAAAAATACGTAATTTCTCCGATTTAGTTTGTACGACGATTGCTTTATTCACAATGAAACTAATTTCATTTCATTTGTTTTTCAGCTTGGGTTTTGTTGTGTCGTTGGTTTTTTTGGGGAATCATATAATACCAAGAAATCAACGTTTTTATTCATATCATCAGTTCTGGGAAGAGTTCCACGTTCCTCAAGATAAAGGGGTATAAATAGTTACACTACATTAGACCTATTATTATTAAATTTTAAAAAAGGTGATCCACAAAATATTAAACGTTTCAGTAAAAAGTAAACACGGTCATATTGATTTGTTTTACATAAAAGCATCATTGAGATGGTTGTAACTATCAATTAATAGAATTGTTTCAATATAAATGGTATAAAATATTTACACGACATTAGACTTATTATCCAGACAATATTAAAGGACACTATTGGTGTCAGTCATTATCACATGTGATAGAACTCGTTAAACACGTTCCGAACATAATTTCAACACAGAGAGCATTACCACGATAGATGCTTTATGAAGATTTCAGCCATCGGAAGTGACGAAAGCAAAAGGGGCACACGTGTTATCCCTCTATATAACTGGTTGAAGTGACGAGTGATAACAGATACTATCTGCTCACTATCTCTTATCACTCGCCACTTTAGTCAGTTATATAAAGGGATAACTCGTGTTTTCCTTTTGCGTTCGTCACTTCCGATTGTTGAAACCGTCATATTGATCTCTGTTTTAACCGTCATAATGATCTCTGTTTTAACATTATTTTCGGAACGTGTTTAACGAGTTCTATCACATATGTGATAATGACTGACACCAATATTGTCCTTTAATTGTTTCAGTAAAAACTAAACACGGTCGGATTGATTTATTTTATATAAAAGAATCGGTCTATATATTCACTTGTATATATACCAAGCACGTGTAGGATTTTTTGCAATATGTCAATAAATTATAACCATAATTAGGGAGAACGGCTACTAATTTATTTCGGCGACGTTTTAAAGAGCATTCTCTCAACATTATCAAGCTGAAACATTAGTAGCCGTTTTTCCACAAGTATGACATGTGTTATAGTTTATAGATCTATCCAGTTACTAAATGCTTCTTAAAGATTATTAATTTTGTATGACGCTGAACAATTAAAATACAGATCTATATTTCGTTTCGTTTTTTTTATACTTTCGATGGCCTACACTACATGGAGATCTGACAAGCTGTAGCGATAGTTCGCATCAGAGGTCATACGAGCGGCTTTTGACCCTATGACGTCAGACAGTTGATTAACCAATCATCATTGATGTTTCTAATGGATTACCCACAGTTTCTTGCAAAAGACGCCTAAAGCTTGCCATAACAGGCTGTTTCATTGGCTAATACCTAACACCATCCAGAACACGTCAATAAAATCGTCCAGCCTTAGTGAAGTAAAGACAAATAAAACGAAATTTTGAACTATAAAAAAAGAAACGAAATAGGATCTGTGTTTTAATCAGATTGGACGATGAATGGAGTATTTGATTTCTTTCCGAAACTGCTCCCCAATGAATCTTTTGTCATGGCCATAGAGTATCACTCGTACATATTGGAGAATGGAAATTGATACAAGAAAATGGGACGAGTTGCGGAATTCTCTTTGAATTGAAACCGTCCAAGGGTTCTTTTTGTGGACCTGGGTTATTCCAAATGACCACGCAATACTTTCCTGGTCATCCCCGCAGACAGGAAGCGGAAGTGAACTATAGCTCTAAGGTTTTTCGAACCGGGTATATTCTATTCCGGGAGCGAACCTCGGACCTCCTGGTTAGTAGGTCAAGGTCCTACTCACTGTGCCACCGCTGCCCCCGTTACGTAACATATAAACAGTTCTATTGATTGACCCCAGTATATGCTGTTGTTCCGTTACTGTAGAAACAGATCTATAAATTAACTTGATGATCTTGCATGATGTTAATCAATTACTGGCGATTTCTAAATAATTAATAAATGAAATGAAATGGGGTTTAACGTCCTACTGTTCTGCTCCTAAACTGGGCTAATGAAGACAGGCATACGCCATACGGTGTGCTATGAGGGAAATTTGGCGCGGGCAGCGGCGCTACGGCCTACTCTTATATCGAATTCCAACTGCCAAGGGATCTTTTACGTGCACGTTAATGTGTACACGGGACTTCGGTTTTTCGTCCCACCCGAACGACTAGACAGCTGTCCTTGTAAGACCCTCCGTCGTGCATCACCGACAAAGGGGAAGCACGCCGGAAAATCTGGATGAACCTTCTCGGCCAATGCAGGAATCGAACACCCGACCTCCAGGCTATCGAGCCAGCGTCTTACCCACTTAGCCACCGTGACTCCACTAAATAAATAATAACATACAGTGGCGTATTGTAGATTTAACAAAGATGGATGATAGAGAGGGTCATGTGGGTTTGAGCGGGTGTGGGTGTGGGTATGTGGATTTTGGCGACTATTGAAGCAACTGTTGCACATTGGCACACTAACCTCGAGGTCCAGGATTCGATCCCAGGCAGTGGCGGCGCCAGCCGTCGGTGATTGGAGGGGCAAAGCTGGGGCAAAGTCCAAGGTTAAGGGGGCACAGGCACGAGCTTCAACTAGGGGTAGGGGGCCTCCCCCAGAAAATTTCGAAAAACAGGTTGCCGGAAATGCAGCCTGGCAGTATTTCAGGCACTGATCGATGAGGTAAAGTGTCAAACGAACGGACTTGAGAATCACGACGAAGCCCACTCACGAGCGTCAAAGTAGGGAGCCCTCCCCCAGAAAATTTTGAAAAATAGACTGCCGGAAATGCTGTCTTAAAGTATTCTGTCAGACACCGATCGTCGAGATAAATAGATCTGCCCAGATACCGTTGATCACTAGAGAACAAAATGTCAAACGAACGGACTTGCGAACCTCAACGAATTCCCCTTGTGAGCGCCAAAGTAGCGAGTCCATACTATGGAGGGGGATCCTCGCCAAAACTCTCAATTTGTGAAAATACATTTGTCGATTTGTGAAAGTACATTTGTAAATTTGTCAAAATACAAAATACATTTGTCGATTTGTGAAAGTACATTTGTTAATTTGTCAAAATGCAAAATACATTTGTCGATTTGTGAAATGCATTTGTTGATTTGTCATACAACAAAAATATTATATAGAGGGATAACACGTATGCCCCTTTTGCTTTCGTCACTTCCGATGGCTGAAATCTTCATAAAGCATCTATCGTGGTAATGCTCTCTGTGTTGAAATTATGTCGGAACGAATTTAACGAGTTCTATCACATATTTGATAATGACTGACACCAATAGTGTCCTTTAATATTGTCTGGATAATAAGTCTAATGTCGTGTAAATATTTTATACCGTTTATATTGAAACAATTCTATTAATTGATAGTTACAACCATCTCAATGATGCTTTTATGTAAAACAAATCAATATGACCGTGTTTACTTTTTACTGAAACGTTTAATATTTTGTGGATCACCTTTTTTAAAATTTAATAATAATAGGTCTAATGTAGTGTAACTATTTATACCCCTTTATCTTGAGGAACGTGGAACTCTTCCCAGAACTGATGATATGAATAAAAACGTTGATTTCTTGGTATTATATGATTCCCCAAAGAACCAACGACACAACAAAACCCAAGCTGAAAAACAAATGAAATGAAATTAGTTTCATTGTGAATAAAGCAATCGTCGTACAAACTAAATCGGAGAAATTACGTATTTTTAAAACGCATCTCAAAGTATTTCGACGCTAAGACCGTCTAAAGAAAGATTTTAAATATTCCTATTATTAATTACAACAGGTTTTACAACAGGTATCTCTATTATTAATTACAACAGGCTTCTCCTATTATTAATTACAACAGGTTTTATATTTTACGTTTTTTATATTTTACGCGTAAAATCTTCCCAATGCAAAAACAAAAATTTGATCTTTTGACCTCCGGGGTACCAGGACCAAAGGTGAATTTAGCAAGTGAGTGACAAATGGGGTTTAACGTCCACTCGACACAAACTAGGTCATTTCGGGACTAGCACATGGTACAATTTTATTTCAATAATTCGCTTCCGCGTAGGGGTCTTTAGCAGTGGCAGGAAACCAGAGGACCCGGAGAAAACCT